CTCACAATAGCTTCTCGTGCATTTGGACAGATATTGTATTATGATAAGCTGGATAACAAGCGTATGCCGCTTAAAAAATTAAATTAATACTTAAACTTACTAAAGCTATAACTCATATTCACCCAATAAACCAACAAATAAACTGAAGGATAAACTAAAAATAAGACTAATAAAACTAAAGGTAAGCGCAGGAAGCTAAAGATTTCCGTGCTGGCGGCTGCAGTAATAAGTATATCTACGCCTACTAAAATGCATGTAGTAGTTATTTAAGTCTAGTGGTCTAACAACCACGGGCAACTTAACAGTTACCGAAACGTCTTAGTTTAAACACGTTAACGTGTCTGTACGGATAAACCCTATGATTTTTTCCCAGTGTTTGTTCTTGAAAACAGGTTAAAAGTTGGAACTTCTAGAGTCCAGTAAACAAATAGAGGCAACCTGTAGTTACATGCTGTTGAAAGAGCACACTATGTTCGAAAACATGTTCGTTTTAGGGTTTGCCTGGTCGCGATGGCACCTGTCCATCCAGCTGTGAAGCTCGTCTTACTCCAGAGGATATTGAAAGATTGAGAGTAAGTATACCGCTTTCTGTCTCCTTCTATCCTTGTGACACAGGACATCGAAAGTATCTGAATACATGCTGGATAAATGATCAGATAATATTGATGTCCCTTTAATGTGGTTTCGGATGTTGATTGTTGATGCAGCCGTAGTCTAAACAAAAACCTCGACTTATTGCCAGCGCACAGCCTAAACAGAGAAGCAGTGTCTCCAGGCACCCTATCGGTTTTCCACATATTCCACTGCCAATTTGACCTGCCCGTTTTACCATCAAGGAGGAGAACATTGACTAAACAAACTTAAAATAGGCCTTGGCTTCCACTTCTGTTCAACTGTTATTTTACACGGCAACCTTCCCAGGAAAGCCGCATGTTAAATAGAAACGGAATTTTAATGGTTTGTTGCCAGCATCGCGTTCGCACCTTCCTCTGGAGTAGCACAAGACAGGGATACCGGAAGAGAACTTTGTGGCATCTTAGACGTCATTACGCAGTGACGCCCGTAGCCCCGGTTTGGGTGCATCCGAGGTGTGAACCGGGGTCAGTAGTCTGTCGAACTCACCACTACCGCCACGGTGTCCTCCGTATTCTATCCCGAAACCAGGCCAAATCGGCGTGCTCCCACGCGTCTCGAGACCCCTTTAGTCACGTAAAAACCTCCGTGTACCCTTAAGAAACTGATCTTGTGGCCGTTAGAGCCGTATGCCCCGACGCAACCAACCATTCGTTGCCCCTTTACAACTTGGTGCGACCTCGCACAACCAACTAACACCAAGGAGAGAAGTGGAAATGGCAAACACTTGGTTGGGTCTTGAAGGATATGGACCCCAGTCGGTATTTAGGGTTAAGTCTTGCGGATTAAATAGATGAAGCCGGTGGTGGAAAGTGTCTCAATGGGTACTCTAGATGGGTTTTGAGGTCCGGGCATCCAACATACTAACGAGCTATTCAGCGACTCGATACACAGACTAACATGGAAAATTGCTAGACCGTGCACTTGAGATTTAATTGGCCGTTGGGGGAACAGATAGCTGGCCAGTCTGCGTCCTTGCTGATAACCGAAAATTGAGTGCAGTTTCACCTAATCTTTTGCTATTGACAGTTCACGCTTAATAAAATCTACATGGTGGGATCTTCAAAAAGCTGCTTCACTGGACTCGGTTTTGTGTTGCATTTGATTTATTGTACAACTGATTGCTTTCCTTTTTTGTTTGATGCACCAACAGTGGAGAGTGATATTTAAATTGACCTGTTGCAATGTACACCGCTGTAGTAACCGATCGAATAGATGAAGTTGATATACTCAGCGTACGCATCCAACGCTCGTGTTCAAATAACGACATAGCTGCTGGTTTACATTCATGCAGCGGAGACTTGGACAATGTACTACCATTGCTCTAGGCTATCAAGAATATGTCACATGCTGTTCATTAAATGTTTCGCTTATGGTGAACTATGTTGTATACTTTAAAAGCAACACTCATACATGGAAAAATGTGATGGTTTATAAAATGAACATTATACAGGCTTAAACATTATCCTAATTGAAATATTGTTTTCCCGGAAGAAATTTAAAGAAGGCGAAGATCAAGAGATTAGCAGAATTTATTGACCTCAAATAATTTCGCGACTTCTTATTCAACTGCAAACGGTCATTGCTTATTGATAAGATAGTGACACTGGCCGTACTTCGGGCGTCTCCCACGATTTGCGGAGACCGCTGCAATACGGAGAACAAAACCAGAACTCTGTAACGGTTGGATCATGCAATCAATCTTGCATAGCCATGATAACGGTCGATAGACGCACTACCTCTCACGCCTCCTCGCTCCCCTTAGGGCTGACTGCTACCCCCCCCCACCCCTTAACCACTTCTCACAGGCTTTCATGACCACAAACTAACGTGAACTGCCATGCCATGATAAATACCTCCCCCCTCCTCTACCCCCTTATCATGCGTCCACATCTAAGACTGATAGCTTATACTCCGTTTACCTACCAAGTTTCACCCTTCTAGGTCGACACGCAATTGGAAAGTTAATTTATCTTATTGATAGGCAATGACTGTTTGCAATTGAATAAGTGGTCGCGAAATTATATGACGTCAATCAATTCTGCTAATCTCGTAATCTTGGCCTTGTTCAAATTATTATAATTAGAAACTTTTTGAAGTCGACAGATGCTCTCTTTCAGAATTGAAGATATCGTAATATTCTGGCAAATAAGTACAAGAAAAAATGAATTTTTGTATATTTTTAATGCATACATGAATTTATAAGGCATCGAAGATCAGTGGTCATACTTCATACTACTAAGTGGTCATTTGTTTCAGGGTGTATTATTGCGGGCTGCAGGAAAGAAACTGGTGGTAACCCGTCACGACCGACATAGCTTGGGATTATGCCGCATCATAGTCAACCTTGTCAATTGTTGATGAATGTTCACCTGACCGCTAATGGAACTCATCTTTCCTCCTCTGCCTTGGACCTCGAAAGAGGCGCTGACGGACGTAACAGCTGGTAGTATACATATAGTAGACATATAGTATTGCCGGCAAAGACAAGAGAGACTGGACTCATACGCAGATAGGGGTGAAACCTGCACAGATTGCACGGTACTTATAGTTCGTAGCGGTCATCCGCATGCGTACTATAATCATCGGTTCCTGTAGCCACCGCTTGAGGTCTTAATTGGTGCGGTGATGGCTCGTTAATTACCACGATTCACTTTTCCGCGTCGGATGCGGGCTTGATAATTGTATGACAATCCTGCCCGCTGTCGTCAGAGATGTTTCCGTGCCCGGCTCTTCCCATGTGACTGATTCTCTGGCTCAAGCAATGTCTCAGTGCGCCCTATGGGAATGCCAAATCGTTGCACTTGTTGTGGGCGTTTGACTCTGATCAAAAAGGTCGCGAGTTCGATATTTGGGTGGAGCGCTACTTGGGTTTGTGCATGACTGGCTGACAACGGCTAAAAAGCCACAAATGGCCACTTCAGTCGCCCTTTTATTTGTCAGCAATACAATCAACCTTGCAACGCACCTACTTAACCTTTCCTAGTGGAAGATTAACTTCCGAATTTCAGTTAATATTCCACGATAAAACGTTGCGACTGTAGGTGAATGTGAAATAAAAATTACAGTCAACTTTTTATAAAAGCCGCTTAGTAGGATTACCAAGTTCTGACGCATGAAACTAACTTTCTGTTGTTATAGTTTGGACGAATTCCTACTCTCCTAACAAGACACAATATGTCGTCAGTGTTCGGTCAAAGACGAAGAACACGTAGTGACCTAGCCAATGCTGTTTTTTTTTGTTTCACGTCTCCTTCGTTGGGGTCCGCAGTCTCGATGAAAGTATGGGTCCTTTTTTCTGCGTATCCAATCTCGAAAATCGATATCCCGCGCACATAACCCACGCACGCACATGATAACGTTAAACCATCCAACAGTCTCAAGTGGTTACTAAATGAGGCGATGTGGAGATCTCGGGGCCTCCGCCGTCCTATCAAAAGTCGTTTTATCACAGAGACGAGCTCGCAGTGCTTCACTTCTTCCGCGGACTCATGTTTTTTTATTCGGAGCTTGATCTTTCGCAGGATTGACAATGTTACGGTCAATAACTTTGACGTATTCTGTTTAAAT